TCCCCACAGTAAGGGTCTTTATAAATTGACTTGCACTTGTTTGCAGGGCTCTGGAAAAAGAAGGGTTGGGTATAACTCCAAAAGAGCCAGGCAGCTTCCAGCATAGAGGAGGTTGACAGTTGCATCAGAAATCTGATTTCCGGAGTGATTTCTGGAGGGATAGCGTCTCGTAAGTCAAAGCTGAGCTACTGTACAGTAGAAGCAGTGTGTTAAAGGTTTGTTCTGGGAAAGGAATTTGGGACCTGCAGTACAACACAAGCTATTATGTGATCAGCTTAGCCTCATCCAAGAGTGCTACCAGCTTGGGGTGTTCATAGAGGATAACATGGCGATCAGAGCAAATGTGGGGCAGCGTCAGAGCAGCAGCAGCATGCTGGCAGGAAAATGATAGAGCTGTGGCTGGGTAAAATCTTCACAGGCAAAAGATGGTGAGTTAGAGTAAACCATTTTAAGTTTCTGAAAATTATTATAAAGGGTGTCTTATCACAAGGCACACCTTTAAAAACATCTGGAAAATATCAGAGAGTGGCAAATCAACAACAGATCAAATAATCATAAATTTCAACTGAAAAACGGAGTGAGGGAAGGAGGATTCAGAGAATTTGCATTCACTGCTGAATCTGAAATAATGGTATAAGTACCAACAGGCAAGGAAATACCTTTGCTCAGGCACCGAACATCTTTCTCTCCTATTGAAGCATGTGAGTTGAAGATGTGCAGCACATCATATAACTGGATACTCTAAAACTGGACAGTCTAATCTGCCTTCCAGTAGAAAAATACAGCAATTGCGGTGATTCCTTCTTTTTTGTAAGATACAGTTTGTATTTCAGAAACGAAACAGCTTTCACTCTTCTAATTACAATAAAGAAACTGAAACTTACTTTAGAAAACATTGATATTCATAGTGCATAACAACATATGTTTACTGGTAATGTCAATGCTTTTAGAAAAAAACCCACGTACCATACACGATTGAGATAGCAATTTTAAAGCTATGAATGCACAATCCTTATCAGTTCACAAAATCCAGACTCCTTTTCCAAACACCACTCTCCTTTCTAGGAAAAGAAAACCAAAACATAGATTACACTGAATAGGCTCTAAGTTGATTAGATAGAAAACATACTCCAAGAATGGCAGTGTTAATGTTGTAGAGAAAGAAGTTTAAAACTTCTGTATCTGACAGCATTTGTTCTGGTTCCTAAGACTTACTGTGGGGATGGGGAGCCACCCTTTGGTCATTATTGTAAATGCAAAATCAATATAACGTACCACAGATGCTGATGGTTTCTGCCCTCTGAGCAGGGTTCTCAGTAACCACTTATAAATTCATTGGTAATACTAACAGATACTGCAAGAATCATCTCAGCTTTAACACCACTTACAGTATCTATCTTACCTTTCAGGGATGACAAACCACAAACCGAATGTCTGTAGCATCATTTCTCACTAAAATGAGGATTGAATGAAACAAAACGTTTGTAGCTTTGTAGCCCTCTCTTCCAAGAGCCCAAAATTGAATAAATGAAAAGGTTTAACCTGAATTGCAAATTACTTGCTCATTGAGGTGACTGACAGACACACAGCAGTGTGAAAAGCAGACTAACAAATAGCCCTGACCAATAGACTGCTACTCTGTCATTTCAGCAAGACAGGCTGGACACTGATGTAGAAAGGCAAAATCCTCCAAGAATGGAAAATACAAATATTAAGCCCAAGAAAGGTCAGCCGACAGGGCAGTAAGGGAAACCTATGGAAAGTGGCCAAGGAGTTTGAACTTAAGCCCCACACAACTCTTATTTCACATTGAGAACCACAAACCATTCCCGGAAAGGAAGAAATTATTATGCTCTGTCTTAACCTTGATGTGAGCAAGCTTCTTAAATGCTTCTCTCTTTTATGAGGAGAGACTAAAGTTCCCAGAGTTTTCCATTTACTTCTCCCTCAGGAGTTTGGAGGCTGTTGTTCTCTCTGTTTTTCTTCCTTTCAACTTGGGATCATCCGCTACCACGGTCAGCTTTTGCTGGTCAGTGTCAAGTGGAATTGGTCCATGAGACAGAGAAAATGAATAGCAGATATGTGAGCCCTGGATAACCCAGACACAGCAGGAAAGCAGCAGTTTTGAATTTGGGTACGGATTTGAGAACACCAAGACTAAGAAACTTAGATGAACTAATGAATGTTAGGCACTGTAAAAAGACAGACAGAAAGAAAGAGACTGGAAACAGCCATCAATCAATATACAGGTAATTAGCAGAGACCAAAATGAGATTACTGGCTGCCTTCTATCCTGCCACTTGCCATGAGCAGTTTTAATAACCAAGTAAAGAGTTACAACAATGACAATATACGTATTTTTTCACATGCTTAAGATGTCTTATCAACACCACACTACTCCACCAGACAAACCAGTTGTGCTCCCACACAATGAACATTCCTACTCACGTGTTACATTTGGGGATGAAGAAGCGAGAAGGTGGAGTAATCTCTCCAAGCTCACACGGGAAGTTAGAAGCAGTATCAGGATAACACAGGGGTCTCCAGCTGATCGGACTGCACGTGGTCTACATTTGTATCGTTGTCACTCAAAGGAAGCTTGTTTGTCCTTAAGTTAAGGATCTTTTCCCTCCCACCACCAAAGAAAAGAGAGCACACTGAATCACTGAACAACATTTCCATTGGCTAAAAACCAGCTTTTTAATTATTCTCTGCTAGTGACTCTTGATCAGCTTTCCTCGGCCCAAAGTGCAGAAGCTGTCCAAGAGTGCCTTATGTGAATTATTAAAGTGATAGAAGGAAAATGAAAAGGGCATGGGACAGCCATCACAGTGTTTGAGTTTTTTTGCTGAGGTATGAGGGCCACCCACAATGCATACTTTTCTGTAATGAATTTTATCTAAAAAAAATTATATTTATTTCAGCCTGTAGTAATACAGTCCATTTAGATTATTACAGTCTGGTGCTACCACTTAAATTCAACACCAGTTTTGATTTGTGATTGTAGTATTATTAGATGTCAGTATACAAGGATTTTGCACTATAGATTGACAAAAGAATCTGATTATTTACAGAGCTGTCTTTCTGTTCTACATTTGAGCAGGTTCTTCAGATTTTCTGCTCGATCACTGGAAGCTGAAACCAACAGGTAGATGAGCCCAGTGCGGAAAGGTCTCATGTGAAAGAGAGTGTTCACACCTAAAAGACGATGTCATAGCTTTTGGAATGACGACTGACTGCACTGAGAAATTAATGGGTTTGAAAGGACTTGGTGAGATTTATCACACCACAAATCTGGGGGTGATGCGTTCTCACAGCTGATGATTTGCTAGGCAAGAGAACGTCCCAACTCAGACACGACTCCCTCCACCAGTACCGATCTGTGTTGACTTGTGGATAACTGTAGGACACTGAATCTGGAACTAAAAAGAAATGAAGGAAAGCGGGTAAAATAATGTGACTGAGATAATTTCTCACCAGACACTGACACACTGCTTATACTTATTATGAAACACTTCTGAAACTAGAATTTTATGAAAGTCACCTTCTTTCTTCATTGAAGAGCCATTGTTTGGTCTGATACTGCTGTCAGAACACAGCAGCTGTTCAACACATTGTGTTTTCAAAGGAATAATCACAGGTTTAACTCATTACATTAATGCATACAGCTTTATAGTAGACACTGGTTTGGGCCTAAGCATAACATACTCTGCCAGGATGCAAAAATTCCACCCAAAAGATAAATCTTTGATATCCTAGAAGTGTTCAAACCCGAATGCCCTCATTCTGGATTTTCTCTTTGGGTTGCCCTGCATGATCAGAAGCACCAAAATTATGCTACTAAGCACTGAACATGTGAGAGGTAATTGGTAAGGCACTTCAAGTCTGGTGGCTCTTTCAGTCAGCACTGATTTCATGCAAATCCATGGAGAAGCAGGGAGTTAAAAGAACTTTGAGCAAATCATTGCCGCCGCCTCCTCCTGTGTACAAACAGGTACCTATCTTCAAAAGAAGGTTCAGATTCCTGAATTCCAAGCTTAAAGAAATAGAAGATAACTCGACATATTAGGAACTTGTTCGGGTAAATCAAATCTTGTCTTCTCATCTGAAGAAACAGCCGGTGCAGAACCAGCATCTCTGAGATGTGTTCAGCACATGCCTAACGTGGTTACCTTTTCCCTGAAGGCAACAGCAGTGGAGCCTTACTACGGTGACCAAGATCTTCTCCTTTTCCTGTCATGAGGATACATATTCCACACCTGACCTTCAGGAGATGCTTATGAACTTGTCAGCTACAAAAGAAAGGGGCCTATCATGATCAGAATTCTCTCAGGGAAAAGCTGCCAGAGTATCTGTTCCTGAATCCCCACGTAGCAGGATTCATGGTGACCAGAGACTAACACCTTTGGGTGGCAAACTCAAGGGAATCTCTATCAAGATCCTTGTAAAACAAGAAAGAGCCAACATTCATGTGCACCTGCTTTGGGTGGTGTTGGCAGGAAGTCATTTACATGAATCAACCCATCCATACCAAAAGACGGATGTCCTGGATGACCATTATCAAGCGGGATGCACCTGGTGCAGAATCACTATCGCTCATGCACATTTTCCCAACATGCAGCTTGTTGCCAACTATAATTTGTTCCTTAACAGTCAGTACTACAGAATACAAACAAGGTAACTAAAAACCTTTCTGAAGAAAAGCAAACTTTCCTTTTTGAATTTACAGCCTTTTAACCTCTACAGTAAATTCTGCCAGCTTCCATTAAAGGAGCATCTAGTATCCAACCAGCAACCGTAAGCCTCTAGGCAATTCCTCCCAGTCCCTGCCAAAGCATTTTATTACAAATAATTGAGGGGAATCTCTTACTTCTTGATGGTACCCCTATTGCAGGCACCTTTGAGAATCTAGCTTGTTACCGTAGAAGAGGTAAAAATGTGAGAGTATAAACAATTTTAAACATTATGCATTTGACAGAATATAGTTTGAGTAAAAACTTTATTTTAAAAGAAATAATTGCCTTTGTGATTTTTCTTATGCTTATTATTTACTTTATTGAATTTTTTCCACTTTTACCATGTATGCTTCTTGCTCATCTTCTAGACTGTCTATTAAGATGGAGAATAAAACTAGACTGGTCAGTTTTGCCTGTGGAATTCCTTTACCAGTTACCAACACAATAATTTTATGTTTAAATTGCAAACAATACTTGGTAAAATTTTTATCCAAAACAATAAATTCTTTAACCTGAAATCTTAAAACTGCTTCTGGGAGCATTTCTCTTAATATTGGATTTTGCAACTTTTTAAAAGAACAGAATCAGTATTTTATGCCTACATTATGCAACCACATGACATTCTGAAACTGGAATTATTGAGAGCGAGCAATATTTCTTCCAAGAATGATTAATGAGCTGAAAAGAAGAACCTGGTGCTGTTACACTTCTCGCACATCAGGCAAATACATAGAACAGATCAGCATGTTTTGTCCAAAGGCTGGAAAGCGTCTTAGTGACTCCCAACTGTCCGTAAATATATTATACTTAAGAAAAACACGGTGCTCCAAGCTTGTAGATAAAGTAATATCCCTACTCAATATATAGACTCCATCATTGTGGAGAGTGCAAGTCAAGTTAAGACCCGATTTTGATGTATTCTCTTTGAGGTAGAGCCATTCTTTGGTAGCAATGTTGTAAGACTGCACAGTTAACGCGTCCTCACTTTGGCTGGATTTTTGGTTTGGTCCAAGTTCATGAATACAACCCCCTACCAGATATATAGTTTCTTCAACAGAGAGCATCTGTTGTTTGCGAACATGGACATCACAAAGTTCAAAGTTGGTCCAGGAATCAGAAGTGGGACAGTACTGCAAAATGTTCATATTCCTATCTGAAACAGAGGAGAGATATTTACAAATAAATAAACATATTAGAAGGTACTCATGGAGAAGAATCCTTCCCCCCGACAAACCGTATCAGCCATTATTACAGATTGCTAACGTACTGCAGTGCAAAAGCATAGCAGATCTGGGAAGAAATATTGATAACTGAGAACTGCAACTCTTTGCTCTTGACCAAAAAGTCTGAACATTCTGTTCCTTTGCAGAGGACAAAACTAAGCTACTGCTGGCACACTACATGATGCAAATGGCCTGGGGATGCAGATTTTAGCAGAATAATCCCTACCTTTTAACTTAGGCTGTTAATTCTGTCTCCAATTGATATGTTAGAATTTTTTACGAAAAGGGAAAAGGAGCAATATTCTGCTCTCCCACAGTGATCACAGATGAATCAAATTATCGTGAAGACAGTATGCTTCATTAATGGCTGTCAAGTGTTGATTTATCATCCAAGCTTAATTTTGATACTTTGCATTTCATTCCATAAATCAAAGTTTTATGGAATAAGATTCATAAAGCTAGTTACATTTCAGCAAGAGGCATGGATGACCTAAGGGCACACTTTCAGTGCCTTATAAAGAAAGAAACATCCATTGTCAAAATCATTTAAGACCCAGGAACTCCGTGCCCCAGCATCAGATAGACACAATAAAAGAAAAAAAAAGGAGCCATTCTATATTTCAGTGGATGCATATGTTTGCAATACTGTTATTCTACAAAATTGTTACAATACTGCCCTGATTTATGGTGCAGTGGAGACCCTGGCTGTGTCCAAGGCTTCACTAAGTTAGCACAGAATGCACAAGACTCATTAGCCAGTAAATCGAGTTTCAGTCTCTGGAGACTTGAGCTTAAATCCCAACTCAAGTGACAAGTGGCAACAGGTTTGCAGACTCCAGGCTGGTCTTTTAATAAAATCTGCTCCGTATTACAAGTCTATCCTGCATGACGATCTCCAGATGAGCTCCCAAGTGGAAGAGCAGATGGTGACATACTGACAAGTTATGTAAGGGCACAGGTATAAATAGCCAAAATATAACTGGATTGTCATGAATGAAGTGCATTAGCAGCATGATTAGGGAGGTGCTGCTATAGCTTTTTCTTGTACTCTGATTATTTCCAGTCATTGTTCATTACTTTACATTGCCTTCTTGTACACCTAATCCAATTTAAATAAGGGGACAACAGCGAAAATACCATGGCAATCCTCTATGAAATTGCTGATCAATGCTCTGCATATAGATGTTTTTTTGTCTACGAAAAATGCATCATTCTCTGACTGTTGGGGGGAGAGGGGTATCTCAATTAAGTTTCTATGTTTATCTATAACAACAACCTTCCCAGGTAAAAAGTGCTATGGTTTGAGAGGGGGTATATGAAATGGAAGTCCTATGGTATGGCACTCATTTGCTCAGCCCAGACCCTGTTTTTTTTATATCCACTGAAACAAAGGAAAACCCAGTACAAAACGTTAACAAACATTAACATTATAGTGCCTGACGTGAAGTTTCTATTAGGATCTAGGTTCACAACTGAGAGCTGAGAACTGGAAGGAGGTTCTTTATTCAAGAAGCGTCATTATAATTTACAGTGGGAAATTCCAGATCCTACCATCTTTTGGAAAGTGCAGCTTCAGGAGAAAGCTCTATACAGATCAAAAAAAATAGCCACAAAACCTAGCAAAATGGAGGTATATGCAGAAATACTAAAAATAAAATAAAATTAAAAGTTACATATTAACTGCTGTGTGCGTTTTATGTAGTGAAATAGCAAATGAATCTCAGCATCTTTCAGATAGACACTCTCCGACGTCTGCATAAATTGGAAGAAGGATCACCTGTGTAACTGCAGTAATTCTGGTTTCCAAGTCTGATAGCTGTCCTAAGCCAAGGTGTCACAGGAAAATTGATTCTAGACCCTCGCTCGGGAAAGGGTCTTTATTTATAACAAGCATGGGCGTACACGTATTTGTTGTCCTGAACAGTCTTGGATTTAAACATAAGCCTGAATGTGCTGGTTATCCACCGCTCACAACTTTCTACTGTTCTATTATCCTGTTTCTATTAAAAACGGCTTTTAGGGAAAGATCTAGGAAAAGATCTAGGAAAAGACAGAAGCCTGCAGGTCAGTGGCAATCCCCTGAGGTGTGGAAGGAAGAAGAGGTAACTCGCATCCTCCTCCAGTTGAAAGCACAGGTAATAAGTACCGAATACGGAGCACTACGAGGGCTTTGTTAATGAATCATAAGGGGAAAAGGACCTGCATCAGCAACATGCTGATCTGCCTATCCGTGACACCAGGAGTAGGCAGCCTGAAGAAAGAACAGCACAAGCCACGGAAAGGGAACTTGCAAAGTGCAGAGAATGTAGGAAAAAAGCTTGTACGCCCATAATCTTGTAGCACTATTAACCAAATCAGAGGTTTTTTTCTTCTTAGTGACTTCCTTCTCTAAAGAAAAGATGACAAAACCCTAGCTCTGGTCTCTAGAGACAAGTCTTCCCATTATTTTGTTTCAGTCCCTTCTCCTTGTTCTCTGCTCTTTTGTCTCAAAGGATGTTTCCCCTTGGGTCTGACTTTCCAACGCAGCAAGGGCTGTTTGCAGGACATCTTCCAGCCCTAGTGCCAGACAGCAGGGAGCACAGTGCACCCCAACAGGTCCTCTAATGACCAGAGGACTGGGACTGCAGAGCACACCACAGCTCGGCCCTCCATATGACCACAAGCACTCTGATATACTTCTGTTTATCTCGGTGAAGCCACCAGGTTCTGGGTCAGAAGGGACCTGGCAAAATGCCTTTGAAGGCTATCATTACCAAAAGGACCATGAGGGCTGGAAGCGTGTCTTTTATAAACTTTATAGTAGTTCAGAGCTAAAATCAGCTCAGATACTGGAAGAGATAGATTGTTTTAATGTCAGTTTACCTTTGCTTGCAGTACTCTACACAAAAGCTGATGTCTCTTCTAATTTTATTCTCCATTTGGAAGAAAAAAAAAAAAGTTTAAAACTACTGCGGTCAAATGCAGTGGGCAAGGCCTAGAGATAGGAATTTAATTTTAGGAAATCCTGGAAAATACTCAACATTTGACATAAAAAATAATTTACTTCTAAAATGCCTAGAAAATGCTAGTCCTCCCAAAGAATAGCACCTTGTGCTGAAGGAATGAACAAATGGGAGCTTTGATTCAGTGGCTTGCTTTTCCACTGGATAAAGAAAAAGAAATTGTCAGGGGAGAATAGAACTTTAAATCTTTCACTCTGTATAGTATCCTCATAGAACAGGGAATAGAAAGGAAGTAAGTCCAAAATGTTGGGTTTTGCTTAAGCTTTTGATTAACTATTCAATTGAGTTATTCCTGCACTGAAAATCTTACCTTTAGCTTGAATTTGCCTGTGAAATACTGGAATGCTACAGGGAAAGAACCGTGACATGAGAAATACTAATGCAGGTGATTTTTTTCTTCAGATTTTTCCTGCTGACAGTTTAAAACAAGTATTTAAAAAGTAAACAAAAGTGTTGAGGCCTCTTTCTACTGCATGAACAAAATCTAAAAAAAAAAGAAGGGCTAAGCTTTTGCCGAAGTCTGTTCCCCCACAATGACAGAGAGCAAGGTCCATGTAGGCCCTGAAAAAAAACCCCAAATCTGTTTCCTGTATGACAGAGCTATTTTTTTTGTTTCATTTGCCAGTTATTTTCTACCAGTGATTTATTTCTACATGAGTATTATGCAGCTTTCTACACCAGCTCAAAAGATTTCCTGAAAAAGAGAAGAAAATTATCTGGGCCTTAGAAGCAATCAGGTTGGGGGGGTGGGGGAAAAAGTAAATCCAAGCTTTCTACCTCGTGTAGTGTATCCTCCGATAACGTAGATCTTGCCCTTGCACTCACAAGCTGAGAATTCTGCAAGAGGGTTTGGCATGGACGCTACGAAATTCCACCAGTCATTTTCTGGGTTATAGCACTCCACGTTGGCAAGGGATTGACCGCCGATGGCGTAGAGCTTCCCATTTACAGCTAAAAGCTTAAAATTGGACCTGAAAGAAAAGATTGCAGCATTGAGATGGGTTCCACAGATGTAAAGAAAAACATAGGAAAGTTCTTTGTCCTATCTAGGCTCCAACATACTCACCATCACTTACAACTTGTACCATTACTTCATAGACTACATCTGAACTCCCCCGTGCAAGGCCCCCGTGCAAGGCCCAAATTCTGTAATTGCACTGTAATTACTTAGGACAGTAACCAGTGACATTCTGGATGTTAATGATGCTGATACTGAGACTGATGAGTATTTTATTTGGTATTTCAATCTGTCACGGTTTGAGCTCTAAATGTTTAGTTAACGAATGTGTTCAGTACATGTCTCATTTTTACTAGGCTTTTAGTAAAGTACCTTTAGTAGAGAAAAATGTATTATGTATACACACAGCCAAGGATATTATTTTAGTTAAAATTCCAGGAATTTCAAACAGGACTTGATGAATGTCTAAGAATGTGTACTCATATTAGTCAATAATATAAAGTCTCTTTAATAACCCTAATAAACAGAAATTTGAAGAAATTGAATCGTGTGCTGCGTAAGAGGGAAGAGAGAATCTCCTGTACCTTATTCAGCATTAAACTAGTAAATACACCCTCCATCCCATTGAAGCAAAATATATCCCTAATTTAATATTCCAACCATAGTTGAACTCCACAGGCAATTCTTTTATTTCTTATATATTCTTTTATTTCTTATTCTGTTCCATTATGCATGGCAAAGGGCACCTGTCTAACTGCTGAAGCGGAAGAAGCCTTATATCTAACACTTTTAAGATAAAACAGGCCAAACCAAATGGTGTGTGGGTGTTGAAGGTGCAAGTCTGGAGGAAGGAACCGGAGGGGGTGAAGTCAGAGGGCTCCTGTGCTCAGCTATTCCTCCCAGCTACGGCAGCTGGTCTAATAAAAGATGAGCTCTTCCTCTCCTCAGAAACATTTTGCCTAGAAAGATTGTTCCTTCTCTGCTGCTGAGCCAAAAGGAGGTTTTACCATGCAGCATCCCAGTTGACTGAACGTGAGGAAGCCACTGGAGTGCACCAGCTCAGCACAAAGCCAAACGGGGGAACTGCCTTATGTCTGTAAAAGTGAAGTGGTGCTTCAGACTGGCGTTGGCCCCGCTGAGCAGTAAAGGGAGTTTGACTCCGCATGAATCCGGGATTCAAAACTTACCGCTAAGTAGTTTTGCAGGGTTTTCGTCTGGACAAAATGAACCCTGCCTAGCAGCAGACTGCCCTGCAATTTCTTTTTATTAAATATATTCGGAAAAAGAATTTGTTTCCAGATGGAATCATTTTGTTCTTGTCATCCTGATATAGCTTTGGAAACTAAAATGCTCCTTTGAAGGAATTAATTGCTTTTTATTCATTTTTTTTGCTGACATTTACGATTAGGTCACTCTGTTCATCTCCTCTCTACAGCAATTATGTTTTCCATCTTAGAGAGAGAATCCAGAATAACATGGCAATCAATAGCGGGTATGAAAGGAGGATAATTACTTGCAAAACATTATGATTTTCAAAGCAATGTACCTGTTCTAAAAGTTATGGAGGAAAAAAAAAATCCACAATTTAACAGAGGGTCGAAACCACAAAATGTCAATGCATTTTCCAAGCAATCCTTTAAGTTAACATGCACACAGATAGCGTTTCCTTATTCTAAGATCTGGCCACTTTTTAACCATGCTGAAAGTTCAGCCTCAGAGGACATGAATCAACTACACAAGTGTGTAGTGTCAGAACGTTAAAGAACTCCGGTTTCCTAATTCAGACGTGCCTCTCTACTTACCCTCTAATTGTAGCCTCTTACTTTTTTATCTAAATAGAGGTAATTTACCCAGTTTTTGCTTGAGAGCCTTCATATCACCGAATTGTTTCCTGCAGCGCAGGGAACACTATCCAGTGAAAGACGTACAGCACAACTTTCAACTTCAATTATTCTAGAAGATGGCCACGTACATTTGTGTCACTCATTTAACCACTTCCCACACTTGCTAAAATGGATGGCATTTGGTGGAAGTATCTCAGATTTATGGAACACATTAACTATAAGGTTCATTTTACTCAAAGACAGCCCTAAGTATCCGCCAGCGTGCTTTATATGAAAGTTTGGACAATGGCTCAATATGTTATGAAAAACTTCTGCCATTCACCTTTCTGTGCCAGTAACAGCAGGTGTTTTGTATGGAGAGTGAACATTAGGAAATATTTAGTGTATTTTTACACTCTTTTAATGTGTTGGAGCAGCTGGAAACAAGGAAAGCAAACACTGAGCAACCAGCCAGCTCTCCACAACTAACAACTGTTCCATGGACTACAGCGTGGAAAGGACGGAGATGACCAGTCCGTCAGACCCAACTGGAGTGTAACTCCACTCGCACCAGTGGGTTTGGATAACTGCTCTCAGAATTGGGGGGATCAAAAGCACTTTCCCAATCCTTTTTGTTGGGACAAGACTGTCCCAGCTGTATGAGCTGTCTTCTCACATCTCTTGTTTCCTCTGAAAGCAGCCCAAAGGAACACAAGCAAGGGTCAACTGTAGGGTTTTACCCTACTTTAAAATACAACCTTTTTCATTCAATAAAGATAAGTGCAAAGCGCTATATGCAGCAAGGAAGAAAAATTAACATACAAATGCATAGGATCTGGGCGTCAGAGCATATAGCTTCCTGAATACATTCAACAGCTTGCAAAAAAACCCCCACGTTGTTCTGGATTGCATTAACAGCCATAGATATATCTGTAGGAGACCACTATGAAAGCGGCTACGAAGAGGACAGCAAGCATTCTTCTTGTTCATTAATAGGTATTATTCATCTAGTATATAACAAGGAAAAGTTAGCATAGATATAAGAGAGGACTTCCTGATCAGAAGGGAAGGTAAACATGGGAGTAAGTCACCTGGGAGGAAGGAGGTTGGAATCTACATTGCTGGAGGGTTTCAAGAACAGGTGGGACACATATGTGCAAGGTGAGCTTGGTCCTGCTGTAGAGCAGGAGGGTCAGATTAACTAACCTGTGGTTCCTACCTGCCAAATGGTCAACATTAACCTTAAAATTTCTCACAAATCAGATTACTTCCTTATTCTAGAGTTAAAGCATTTACAATAGAGACTAAGAATCATGAGAGCACAGTTAGGAAGGCAATTTCAAAACATTTCACACTTTTTGCATGAACCACTTTTTTTTTTTTTTTTTTCCACATTCCTTATATGAGTCTGCAGAGCACACTGCATTCAATTTTTAACTTCGGAAGCACGTGATACATTTGTAGGAAATGTGACATGAATATTTCTAAGTTGAAAGTTTTTGAAAAGTCTATTTTCCTCCAACGCAGAGGAGTTTTGAGTGAAAAAAAAAAACAAAAAAACATTAGAAAATGCAGAAAGAGAAGGTCTCATAAACTTCCACCATTCCCCAGGAGCATCCTCTCCTATATTCCTTTAAGAGTCCTCAGAGTGGCAGCAGTTCAGGCACAGATTGCTCACAAAAACTATGTTCCACGTGCATGTGGATAATCCCAGCCAGGGCCTTACAAGGGTCTTCCAAGCCTGGAAGATTTACCTGCCATGAGTGTTCTGAAGGAAAATAGAAGCGGAATATACAGCTGTAACTGGCACATGCAGTAGAAATCCTGTGAGTACATCATTTTTAAATAGCAAATTTCAACCCACAGCATCAATTTAAAGAAAAATATGGAAAGGTATTGAAGGGCATTATGTGAACAGTCCCCAAAGCACCTTGTTACCTTCCTGTCCCCAAGCACCACGACTGGTCTTGGGCAACATTTACAATAAGTTTCTTCACAAAAAAAGCCCAGGTAGTTCTCTGACCACACTGCTCCAAGTACAGCAATATCTCTAGAATAAAAAAGATCTTGAAACTGTGATCTGCTATGGACTATTTGTGACCGGCACCATATTTAACCCTCATATGATGACAAATTCCAGGCTGAGTCACAGGCTTCCTATATGAGCCTGAGCAAATTGTTTTATCTACCTTGTGTATGCATAAATAGGGAATAACACTTTCTCAAGCTTACGTGGGCATCACAAGAATAATATACAGAAGTTACCTATTGTGAAGAAATTTGAAAGTAGAGTAAAAAGACCTCTACATCTAGAAAGAAAGCTAATAGCTATAACCTAAACCAGAGTGACTGTCTGCTAAGTATTTAGTGTGCATCAGATGGCTTTTGTCTTCCACTTAGAAGTAAGTTGGGACTATTTCACCAATGTGCGTGCATAGATGAAACAGCAGCATCCTGTGATTTGGTATTATAATAGTGGAAATAACTGAAGGTAAAAATACGGTAGAGTTTACAAGGTATGTTGAGGGAAAAGAACTTGATATATTAACAGCAAATCAGCCCGATTGTATCCATAACTCCCCAGCCTTTGCTTGAGGCCAACACATGCATCAATTCACACAGGCCAGACCCAGGTACTCTTAAAACATTGACCGAAGTCAAACCAACTTCAATGGGAACTAGAACCCTCCCTCAAGGTACGTAAAAAATGCATCCACGGGATGTAATTATATCAGCTGACATAAATTCATTTGGCAGACCGTCACATGACTGTAATTCCTAGGCAACACGCTGGGCAACTGCCCTGCTTATTTTACTACAGCATAACAAACTAAAAATACAACGCCGAGCAAAGCCCAGATCTATTTGCAGCCCATCCGTGCGGCGGGCAGGCATCAGCCCTCTTCCTGCTGAACACAAACTCCCTCATCCTACGACTCTCCTGGCTCTTGTCCCCTACAGCACAGGCCATCCCTTCCTGTGTTCTGGCCACTAAATGTCAAGCCGGTCATCAAAGAGCTGGAACGTCACATCATACCAAAAAAAAAAATAAATTAATAATTAATAACTTCAGAGTCGAGGCTGCATGAAGATGTTAAAGTCAAAAGGGTGTTTTGTGAAGGGGTCAGCAGAGTTTCCACATAAAAAATTTCTTCCTGCTTATCATTCAGGGAGCAACATACTCACTTGCAACCTTGCAATCTAGAGGCAGATGTAACTCTGGGTTTTTTTTGCCCTGAAATAACTGCCGTGAAATCTAAGAATAGAGATTATTCCAAAAATATCCATCCACATACTACTTTTCTGCCATAGATGGCCTGTCTGAAATTCTATGCTAAGGAATATCTCACTGTCACCTGTGATGGGCTTCAAGATTAAGTTGGTATGGCAGTGATGTTGAGAACTGTAATAAAAGGAGAAAATATCTGTGTGTTTATTTCAGAGATGATGATTACATATCCTAGAAAAAAAAAGGGAAAACAAGGAGGGAAAAAGACTGATCTAGAGTCTTAAGGTGAAAAAAGGGCCTCAAAAAAGCATTTTTTAAAAAGCCCTCCTTCGCCATGCCACAGAATCATGGTGCATAATAACATCTCTCTTGCTATACACATCACACAAACTAATGCCAGAACCTTGTAACTTGATCAACGTGGGACCCCTATGCTCAAGTTAATTTCCATTGGAGACGCTGTGCGGGCTGACCCCGTCCTCCTTTCCTACCGAGGCCAACGGGCTCTCAATCACGCTCACGGAGGCAAGAGGGCTTGAAGCAAGGGAGGCTAAAACATCTCAGTTCCCACGGGCACCTCAGTGAAGACTGCGTATAGGCTCAGGCCCTAAGAAATATGTCTGGAAGAAAAGGTGTTTGCAGCATTTAGGAGCCAAACTCTCATTTTACAGGTGCTATTTTTTCCCCAACGCCTTTCCAAAAAGCCAGAAATATTCCCAGGTTTCCGATCAATTCCCGTGTCTGATTATGGAGGCAACCGTTTCAGTGAAATTCTCACAGCGATACAGGAAGTAAATAAAAAAAAAAATTTAAAAAAAAGGTGAAATGGGAAGGGACTAATTTTATGTCAAACCCCTGTTTTGAGGGGTTTTAGCTGGCAAGCTCACTGGAATAGAGACTGCAGTTCTATTACCCGGACACAAAATATTTATGTCAATGGTTGGGGTCTCTGCAAGATCCTTGAATCTGCCAGATGGAAAAGAGGATTTCCATCCTACAGTGAATTTTGGCCTCCTTCTTTGTTTTAGTTCTGATCCAGGTAGAGAAGATAAAAATTTCAGTGCTTTTTCTAAAAAAGGAAACAATGAAGAAATTCACGTTGGATAAACAGAAACATTTTGTTTCAATGAAGTAAAAGGCTTTATTTTGATAACTCTGCAGCATGATTAAGGTGGAGCAGCCACATTGTTGGCCAGGGACATGGACTCTCTCCTTGGGTCCCCTTCAAGGCTAGCTCTCCATTGTTCTTTCAAATGTAAATCATACAAGTGTTTCTGAATACTAACTTAAACATAAATGTCAAACAAACAATTCAAAAAGACAAAGGAAAAAAGCAAAATGGCCAAAATGATGAATGATTCCCAGATCCAAATGTTCTCATAAAGTGAGAAATTTCTCACAATCTTCCTGACATTTTCCTGGTGAATATTTCACTGAAATGCAGGCCTACAAAGCATTCGGATTTTTATGAAAGTACAAACCAACGAAAGACTGCTCCAACTAATTCTTTTTTCAGCCACCTCTAGCTCTGATAGACCGTACATCCCCACTAAGAGCAGGAAAAGTGGTCATACCCAGTACTGGAGTTAAAATATACCACCAAAAAAAAAAAAAAAGTTAGAGAAGAATTTTATCTTTTTTTTTTTTTTAACTTTGTTATTTTGGGGAGAATTTCTACTTCCAGCAAGACAGCTGTTTGGAGAGACTGGCTCCTTGTATACTGCAATTTAAATGAAAAGCCCACCACCATTTCACACCAAGGTGAATGATGACGTGGTGGAGAGCTGTAGCACAGTCCTCCTCTGCAGATACCTGGCTCACGTTCTCCCCACAGCCGAGGCCTTAATCACCAGCATTTAGGCAAAAAAAAAGAAAAAAAAAAAAAAAGGCCTTTCCTCCTCACCCTTCCCTTGCCACAGAAGCTCCCCATGCCATGCAGAGGGGGCCCCTGAGGAGAAGAGAGGCCGCAGCCTCGTGCTGTGGTGGGGATGACTTCTGCTGGTCAAGACAAGGTTTGCCTTGATGGCCAGTGGCACGCTGCCACGCCATCGCCAAGCACCGCCGTCCTTCCCACCACACGATGCAAGAGATTCACGTCACGGAGACAGGTCCGAATCGCTTCTCGTTAACGAGTCCAGCCACCGCCACGTGACTCAACAGGGTCTATTTTGGCAACAAACATGGACACACATGTATTTCAGGGAGCAAGGGTTACCTCTTCTGGTTCATCGATGCCAGCTGGCTCCATTCATTTAGGCAAGGGTTGTAACAATGGGCGGCCGAAATCTCCTGGCTGGTGATCCTGTAGCCCCCAACGATGAACAGGTAGTTGTCCAGCATCGCCGACCCATAGCCTCGGACATTCACCAGATCAGGGGGGAGGTTGTTGGCCAAGGGCAGCCACCTCTCCGCTTCCTCATCGTACCTCAGCATAGACCAGGGGGCTTCCACTTGCGGGTGACGGCCTGGAGGCAGGCCCAGGGAGGAGGAACCCATGAAGTCCCCGATGGCCACCAGGGTGGCGGTGCCCCTCATCCGCCTCTCCTTCAAGTGCTGCTGGAGAGCGTGGGGCAGGAGGAGATGTGGCCGGGCGTCGGGCCTCCGCAGCACCTGGTGGTAGTGGGCGGCCATGAAGTCTAGACAGGCGTCGTGCAAGTCCTGGAGACCGTAGACCTGAGCCAGGCGGTGCAGCTCGAAGCAGTTGCCCAGCCTCACCTGGGAGAGGAGCAGGCGGAGCAAAGGGGTGACCTGCAGGTAGGAAGCGGCCTCCACCAGCTCCTCCAGCAAAGGGGGCTCCTCCTCGCCCCCCTCCTCCTGCTCCAGCCTGGCCAGGCAGGAGGTGTTGATGAAGTCCAGCACCAGCTCCAGCCCCAGGGCGCTCAGGCCCCCCCGCAGCAACTGCTCCTCCTGGCCCTGCCCTGCCTCCCGCATGCCCGAGCGGTAGAGGGCTCGGAAATAGTCACTCTGCTCGATCAGCTTCCTCTTGCACACCGGGTAGCACTTGTCCCCCAGCCGGATCTGCACCACCTCCTCCCCATCCCCTTCTTCTTCCCCTTCCCCCTCCTCTTCCTCCCGCCGCCGCCCCGCCAGGGACATGGCTCACCCCCTTCCCCCTGGCTGCGCTTCAGCCCCGGCCCTGCCCGGCTCCTCCTCCTTCTCCTCTTCCTCCTCCTCCTTCTCCTCCTCTTCCTCCGCCCCGGCAGCCGCTGCCCGGGGGTGGGAGGAGCGGGAGAGACGCGGGGCCGGGCCGGACCCGCCGGGGGAGGCGGGATGGAAGGGAAGGAGGCGGGATGGAGGGATGGATGGAAGGGAAGGAGGCGGGATGGATGGATGAAGGGATGGATGGATGGAAGGGAGGGAGGCGGGAGGGAGGGAGGGAGGGAGGCGCCACCCC